TAGAAACTAGTCTGGATTTTCTCCTGTAGCACTACTGGGTGAGCCTCAACAGTCAGTCATTAGATGAATGCGTGTTGTTGTTCTATGCCTCGGCGTTGTGTTGTCTCCCATTCATAGCAGCCCTACGTATAACAGAAGTGCTACCTAGTCCCAGGTCACCCCACAAGCATTGCTATTGGAGCCTGTTGTTGCAGCCAGTATGCCAGCCTATCTCATTGAAGGTCTTCCTGTTTCACTGACGCTGTATGTTACCAAACATGAGGTGCTTCTTCAGAGACGTGCTTCCCGCTAGCATGGGCATGACTGCATGAGACAGAGTCTCAACAACCTCACTTCTCAGGAGCATTCTGCCAACACAGATTGATTCCTTCTCCTGGTGGATTGTGGGATATTCGAGCTTCTCCATCAGCACCACAATTCAAAGGCATCAGTGATTTTTCAGTCTTCTTTATAGTCAGTGTTCAGCTTTCACATGGATTTGAAGGGACTGGCAATAGCATGACTTGGGTCAGACACAGCTAGTCCTCAGAGTGATAGGTTAGCTCTCCAACACTTTGAAGAAGTTTCTCTTGGCAGATTTTCCCGAGGTAGTAGGTAGTGGGGTGCTTTGACTGCTGCTCCCATGAGTGTTAATTGTGGAGCCAAGTGACGTAAAGGACACCCATGTTTTCTCTGTTTGCCATGGTGCTACATTGGGATCTGATTGTGAGGATTTTTGTTTCCTTTACATTGAGTTATCAGCCATACTGAATGCTGCAGTCAGTCCTTTCACCAAACAAGCCTGCACTGGCTGCAGATTACAGGTTGTTACTGAGCCTTCCTCCAATCCCGAGGCCTTATTCGTCTTACAGTCTAGCTTCTCCGATTATCTGCCCAACATAAAGATTGGGTAAGTCAGCAGAAACACTCCAACACACACCTTTCCTAATTTTAAACCACACAATGTCCCCTTGGAGCCCGGGTGGCCTCTTAACTGCCATCTAGTCAATTCTGGGTCCTAGAGAGTCTGTCTGCACGGATAGAACTGCCCCTGTGGGCTTCGGGGACTGTCAGTCTTTACAGGAGTCAGAAGGCTCGGGAGTCTCCCTAGGAGTGCTGGTGATTTGGAACAACTGACCTTGCTGGTTTGTGGTTACAAAGGCCGCAGTTCAAACCCTTCAGCCACTCCGAGGCCATCTCCTCTCATAAAGATGGACAACCTCGGAGACATTAGTGAGGAGTTTCACACTGGCCTAAGGATCAGAACCGACTCCATGGAAGTTGTTGTCCTTTTCTTTAGCACCCCCTTGTTCTGTTTGAACAAGTAACTGCTACTTGATCTATATATGCAGAAGCACCATAAGTATTCTCGAATCTTCCTTCTTTACAGTGTTATAAATAGCTGGCTATGATCCACGCAGGTGAATACCTTACATACTCAATAAAACACAGAACACCATGAGCCAGGTTCACAGGGGTGTGTAGAGCAGGGACAGTGTGTAAAGGGGGTGTAAGAAGTGGGGTGTAACAGCCCATTTGGGTCTGTGACAGTAGGGGCTGGTCACCTGGAAAGTGTGGAATATAAGGGAGACTTCCACATTGCTCTGTGCGTAAGGCTGCTGTCTTGAGTTGCTGCTTGCACGAGTTCCAAGTGAAGTGCTGCATCACGTCAGCCACTGATTCACCAGTCTGTCTCCTCTCTGGCCACTTTGTTTGGCTGCTTCTCCACATTGGTACTCAATCCATTTCTCTATCACCCCCCCCCAAAAAAAAAACCTCAAGAGTTCTAGGATTATTGTCCCTTTCTATTTCAGTTAGTCTCTTGGGTCTTTATAGTGTGCGCAGTGTGTCTGCTTAGTTTGCCACCTTGCTGGAGTAGTATTTTTTAAAAAGAAGGAGAAAAAAACAAATATACAAGCATTTCTGTTATTCTCTTCTTTCCGCCAACATCCATCTGACATCAGCAATGATGCTCCTCACTCCACATCCTCTTCTCAGTTCAACTTGAATTTTTAATTGCCACAGCAGTTTTTCTATTTTCAGCAAAACACTAACTGTGTGCTTTTTAGAAGCCCTGTTATTGTAGTGGTTGCGTATTGGGCTGTGATCTCCAAGGTCCCAAGTTCAAAGCCACCAGCAGCACCAAGGAAGAAAGAGGGCTTGTCTACCCCAGTAAAGGGTCACAGTCTTGGAAACTCGCAGGGGCAGTTCTCCTCTACCCTAGAGTCACTGTGAGTTGGAATCGACGTGGTGGTCGTGAGTTAGGAGGGTTTTTATGTGCTCAATTTAGATCATTTCACATTCTATTGGGTCACTGTTCTTCAGTATGGGCCTGTATATGGATCTCCCCTAATTGGCTGGCCAGGCTGCTGCCTTTCAAACTTCTTGGCGTAACTGAATGAGATCTATTTATTGATTCCTGACGTCTAGCTTTTCCACCAAAGGTTTAAGTATAGCTTGGATTTCTTCCTTCAATACCTCCACTCTTGATCATATACTACTTCTTGAAATTACTGACTAGGTTGATTTTTGTTTTGCTTTCCTATACGATGAATCTGTATATTACTTTCATCTTATTTTGATGTTTTCTTCATTGTTCAAAATATTTTCCATAGAATCTTTCAATATTGCAACTGAGACATGAATATTTTCTTGAGATATGCCTAGAGTGTTTTTCCCTTTTGACTTTCTAATTCCTGGTCTTTGATCTTTGCATATTTCATTAAAATATTTGACTTAGTCTTTTCAAGACTTCTTTTTAAATATCTTCAGTGCTTTTACTCTATCATGTCTTCTGTTTGCTGTAGCCATTCGACAGTCAACAGACAGTTTCAGAGTCTCTTCTGATATCCATGTGGGTTAACAAAGGGTTGCAATGGAACAAGCATTTGTGCTACCCAGATTTTGGTCTTTTGGACCACTATGTTTTATAGGTATATTGTTAATTAATTATTTAGCTAAGTTTAGGGGACTTTACTCCAAAGTCACTAACCAGAACTTAAGTTTCTATGAAGACTCTCATGTTGGAATGTTTGCATGATTATATCTGTTATACATCAAAGTTGCAGCCTTACTCTTTAAAGTATTTATATTTAGCACCTTAACTTTAAAAATTAACATCATACCGTATAATTGAAATATTCTTATTTTCAATATTCCCCATTAATTTCCTACTTTCCAATTCTATAGCATTAATTTTTAGTCTTAAATTAGTGGTGTTTGTCTCTTTCACAATCTCAGACTAGTACTCTGATACCCTGTTTCTTTCTCTTTTGAATCCTGAATGCTTAGAATTCTATTTTTGTGAAATAAAATTGGCACATTGTTTAAAATCCTTGATACTTAATATTCTTTGTTCCATCATTTTGCCTATGAAAATTCCAATAATAAAAGATGGAAACATATGGATATTTTAGATAGATTACACACACACTTTGAAGTATCATAATGCATACTCTATCTATGGATATTACACATTTTCTTCATAGTTTTCAAAACAAGTAATTTTATAAAGCTTCACTTGAATTGAGAAAAAGCTTTAGGGTCTAGTAGGTGTATGATATTGCTGAGGTGCAGTAAAGAATACAAAAATGAGTGGAGCTCTCAACATGCATTAAAGGATTTTTACAATTGAACAGATCTGGGGAGATTATGGATAGATTTTTGAATTGCATTGAAATAGGCATTGAAGTATCAGTAGGCTATAAGTCATTTTGTATAAAGGAAATAATATGGAAGTGGAAAAAATTAAAAGGCTGCATCTCTGGAATACACAATCACTAATTTTGCCTTGGTAGAGAGTGGGTAAATAAATTCAAAATTAAGTAAATTCAGGGCTATGTTATGTAAACTTGATAATTTCCAGCAGAAACTGTTAAGAATCCACTTTCCATCTGAAAATGCAAATGTAAAACCCAAACTAAATGCTAGGCCATTTCCACTCCTTATAGGAGCAGGCTGCCTCAGTTCTCTTCAGAGCAGTTGGTGGGTTCAAACAGGTGACATTGAGGTTACTGGCTCATTGAGTAACCCCCATTCCACCAAGATTCTTAATGCAAACAGCGTCAGACTCATGGCCATCCAGTTGGTTCTGACTCAGTGATCCTACAGAACAGGGAAGAACTGCCCTTTGGGTTTCTGAGATTTTTACTCTTTATTGGAGTAGAAAGCCTCATCTTACTCTGGCTTAATGGCCGGTGGGTTTGAACTGCTGTCCTTGCACTAGGCCACCAGGGCTCGTAATGCAAATATAGTAGGATGAAATTCAGAGTGCAGAATCTAGAGCCCGGTAAGCCAGAAAGAAACAAGGCTCTTGCGTTGTGTCAATAGAGAGAGGAGTATTGCTTTTGAAAGAGAGATTGTCCAGCAGACCTGAGCCGTATTTGTCAATGGGTTGGAATTGATAGGAAGAAAAGACTCCCAAGTTTCTGCCCTTGTGTAATAAATGGTGAGAGTGATGATACAGCCAGAAATGGGGACCTGAGCTGGAGCAGAACCTAGTTTTACAGAGAAGGCTAATCCTCTGATGCTGACGCCCAATAAAATAAACCAAGTTTCTGATCTGATGAAGCTTGTAGTGTAATGGGAAAGAAAACGGAAACAAACACCTGCCTTACCAAATAAGATCATTTCAGAGAGAAGTGATGAGACGGGCCCAAGTAAAATGAAGTGTTGCAACTTGGACCTCGCTTTCAGAAGATGACAGTGGGAGTTGAGTGGCAAGGAGAGGGGAGAATGTTCCTAAAAGATCAAGGAATGAGTTCAGAAGTCCTAAATTAGGGCTGAGTTTGTTGTGTTCGGAGATAACAAATACCACTGTGCCTGTCTAGCACACAGTGAGGAAAGGGCACGTTAAAGAAATGAGACCGAAGTTGGCAGCAGTCAGGTCAGGCCGGTCTTTGTTGGCCTTGTAGAGTTTGGTTTAATTATAGGTCAATTTAACGGCAAAGAGAGTTTTGAGAAGCAGGGGGTTGTGTGGAAGGTTGTGTGTGTGACATGATATGATCCCTGAAGCTGGGATTATGGCTGAGAGGCTTGAGGGAGCAACTGGAGGAGAGACTCTTGGTAAGTATCTCAATGTATTTGAACAGCTAAGAAGACAGAGAAAGGTCAAAAAGGTAGGATGTGAGATGACATAGTGCTAATGCACAGTCCCCAAGAGAGGAGGAGGTTTCAGAAAGGAAGGAGTGGTGTAATGAAGCCAAGTGTTAAATGAGACCAAAGGTTGAAGAGGCAGTGGTCTAAGATCATGGCGCTATAATTAGAAGTATCATATCATTTCCCACAAAATGGTAGATTCAATTTTGACTACTTAGTGATAAAAAAAATTTAGACCAACACTGTACGCTTCTTGATAACTTGGCATTGATATTTATATATAGATGATAAATAGAAATTTTAATGTGGGACCTGGATCCATGCTAGTAAACATTAAAGGAACATCTTTGTAAAATTAGGTATATTTCTATTTGGTGATGTACCGGTTCTACTTGGGGCTGTGATCCACAAGGTCAGCTGTTCAAAACCATCAATACGCTCCATGGGAGAAAAACCTGGGCTTTATACTCCTGTAAAATGTTATAGTCTCAGAAGCTCACAGGGACAGTTCTATCATATCCTATAGGATTTCTATGAGTTGGCACCAACTCGGTGGCAGTAATATTTCTATTTGTTTAATGCAATGGTTTCTTCTAAAATCTTACGATTCATATTTAGAAAACGGTTCCTATATGATTCTATCTGTTCCTATGGAATCTCTCCAGAAAGAACTCTTGAAAATGAAAGGGTCAGGGAAAAGAAAGATACGCCTAAAGTCTACCAGGCGCTTACTAACCCACTGCCATCTGGTGGATGCTGACTCGTAGTGACTCTCTACAGTGTTCTGAAGCGGCCAGTCCTCGCAAAACCAGATAGCCTCCTTTTCCTCCCACCCTTGTGGTTGGCAGTCCGGTGATGATCCAAAGGCTACTAGACATTGGTAATACAGAAATATATAACATGTGAATCTCTGAGCTTCTAGCTCTACTCTGTCTCCTGTGGAAGAAATTAAGCAAGGAGAATTGCTCTTGTTAGATGCCATCAAGTGGGTTCTGACTTACAGCTACCCTGTGTGCAAGAGAGGGAACCACCACCCTGCCCTGGGCCATCCTCACAGTTGTTCTCATGTGTGGGCCTCGTGTAAAAGCCATGATGTCAATCCATTCTCTCAGCGGGCCTTATTCTTTTTTGCTGCCCCTCCACGTTGCCAAGCATGATGTCCTTCTCCAGGGACCGGTGCCTCCTGACAACATATAACAAGTTTATAAATCCATGTCTCATTGTCCTTGCCTCTAAGGAGCATTCTGGCTGCACTGCTTCCAAAACATCAATTTATGCTGTTGGCCTAAATGGTACTTTCAATTTTCTTTGGCAGCATCACAGTTCAGAGACATTGATTCTCCTTCTGTGTTCCTTACTATAGTGTTCAAACTTCACATGCATATGGAGGCCTTTGGAAATACCATGACTTGAGTCAATTGCACCTAAGTCCTCAAAGTAGCATCTGTGTTTTCCCACTCTCTATAGGTCTTTGTACTAGATTTGCCCAGCACAATGAGTCTTTTGAGCTCTTGACTATTGCCTCCATGAACACTGATTGTGGATACAAGCAAGGCAAAATCTTTGACAACTGTTACCTTTTTCCATTTATCCTTGGTCCAGTTGTGAGTTTTTTGGTCATCTTGACATTGAGTTGTCATCCAAACTCAAGGTTGGCATTCTTGAACTTCATCAGCAAATGCTTCAAGTCCTCTTCACTTTCAGCATGCAAGATTATGTCATCTGCTTATGAAAGGTTGTTAGTAAACCTTCCTCTGATTGTGATGCCATATTATTCTTCAATAATTTTGGTGAGAGGACACAACCCTGATTCACACCTTTCCTGATTTTAAACCATGCAATGTTCTTTTGTTTTGTTTGCAAAACTGCTTCATGATGTATGGACAGGCTCAATGAGCACAATGAAGTGTTCTGGAATCTCCAATCTTCCATGCATAGTTTGTTATGATCCACACAGTTGGATGACTTTGCATAGTCAAGGAAACATTGAGTGAGGGAAAGGGAGTGCAATACCGTGCCCCCACCCCCACCCCCACCCCCGAACAAAAGCAAAAGCGACTCACTGTCATCGAGTCCATTCTGAAAAAGGGGCATTTGGACTGGAGAGAACTTCAAATGAAAGAAGGCGTAAGTGGATATGTAAAAAATGAGTCATAGTTAGAATATAATGTACTTTAATCATATCTACAAAGCACCTAAAGAGCCACACGTAGACACATCGACAAGTCAAACTGACCATCAGAGAGTTTTCCAGAAAAGAGATAAGCATATCATGTAAATGTAATATATCTTATAATAGTGATTGCAATAATAAATTTGAATGTTATATTATCTTTTAAACATATAAATACTTATTAATAACTATTAAATAATATTCCTAATCTTATGTTGCCTTATTTATGTTTTCTAAGAAGGTCTTGTGGCAGGCATAGCTCTCTGCAGGAAAAAGACCTCCGCTCATGTAACAAGTTAGAATCGTGGAAACCCACAGAAGCAGTTCTCTTCTGCCCAGAGGGTCACTGTTTGTAGGCATTGGCTCAGTGAAAGTGAATTGAGTTACAGTGCCTTCTTTAGTTTTATGGTATTTAATTTCTATAATATTCCTCTGAGTATTTTTAATGCTTGAGATGCCATATATGATTTTAACCATTAATAAAAAGAAAATTATGAACTTTTCCTTGAAATCGCTTGTACAAGTCTACGTATTTTAGCAAATCTTCCTAATATCCTAAAATTAAACATGTAAAAATGAGATAAGAATATGGATGAGTTAAATATTCATTGTAATTATTATATTTACAGGATGAGACAAATACACTCATTTTTAAATTCTATTATCAATGTAAACTCATGAATTTAATTTCTATTGCATGATTTATTTTTATAGGTAAGAAGACTTTAATGAAAGAAAATGTAGCTTTAGCTTCAACAATCTTAGCATCTAGAAGGAAGTATTTGTTTTTAAACAGAATGTGAGATAGGCAATAAACTTTGTTAGATCAAAGTCAGATGCCGAAAAAAAAAGGAACAGCAGGGCAATGGGAAATAAGATAAAACGGGATGAAACTAGGCAGAATAAAATAAATGCTTTATAGATGGGAGTAATATGCTGTTTAAACACAGGTTTTAATGGAGTAAACCTTTAATAAAATGAGGCTTTAAAAAGTCAGTAACATTGATTTGGAAAAGTTCAGAATAATGAAGAAATTTGTGGTGGTTATTAATCTATGTTGAATTAAGAGGTTATACAATAGATTCTTTGATTTCTCCATATCTTAATTTGAAATTAAATTAAATTTAAAAAGACAAAATTCATAATCCCAGCTTTTAAGAAACATGCATCAAGAAAAAAATTTCTTTAATTTCCTTCCCCTCAAACCCCACTGCCATTGAGTCCCCAACTCTCGCTGTTCAGTAATAGTTGTTAGATGGCATCAAGTCGATTCTCATTCACTGAGAGTCCAATGTCATACTTAACGGAATGCGATGCTTCCCAGTCCCTCACCATTCTCACAGTCCCTGCTATGCTTGAGCCGATTATTGCAGTTACGGTATCCATCCATCTAGACGTGGCCTTCCTCGTTTTCAGTAACCCTCTACTTACGAAGCATGAAGTCCTTCCTGATACCATAGTCAAAGAATTTGTAATGAAGTCCAGCATGATCAGATGCATTCTGGCTATGCTTTATCCAAGACAGAATTGTTCTTCGGTCTTGGATAAAATGGAAATGTATCCGTTCTTCTTCAGTCTACCTTACTCGTTGCCAGATTTCATGTGCATATGAGGCAATTGAAAATATAGCTGAGGTCAGGCTCACCATAGTTTTCAAAATGACATCTTTGTCTTGTATCTTTTCAAAGAGGCCCTCTACAAAAGATTTGCCCCGCCCCCCAACCCTCCTTTTTTGCTTAACTACTTCTTCCAGACTGTGGAATGAAAAGTGAAATACATGAGAACCTCCACATTTTCTCCATTTACCTGAATATTGCTTTTTGGTTTGGTTATACGGATTTTTGTTTTCTCTGTATTGGGACTTAATGCATAGTGTGCTCATTTATCTTTGGCAGTGAGGGCCTCAAGTCCTCTTTTCTCCGCGAGGAAGGTTGGGCCATCTCCTTACTGCAGGTTGTTGATGAGAATTCCGCCAAGCCTGCTGCGGCGTTCCTCTTCAGAGCGCCCATCTTCTCAGGGTGTGTGTTTAGTGTAGAGACAGAGAAGTAGGTCGAAAAGAAACAACTCTGACACATCGTTCTGGATTGGAAAGCTTGAATGAATGCCTTTTGTGCTCCTCACAATCGATGCTATTTAGGGATGGTGGCGATCCTCACAGTTGAATCCCTATGCGGTATCAATAAAACAAAAGGGTACGTCTTGCTGCTATTCTGACAGCATCCCCAAGAATATCCCTAGTACAAGGCCCCGTATGAATCTGGCTTATGTTTCTGGTACTGCCACAACCATTGTTCAGTTTCTCCATCAAAATGTGATTGTGTGTGACATGAATAATATTGTATGACACTGTCCACATTCAGTTGAATCACCTTTTTCTGAAATGGATATATGCACAGGTCTCTTCTTGTTGGTTTGCCAGGTCGTCCTAATTTCTTGTCATAAACAAGGGAGTGTTTCCAATGTTGCATCCATTTGTTTAGGTTTCTTACTTAGCATCCTGCCAGTTTCTACAGCCTACGTGTTCCATGTCTTCTTCAGTGAAGCTTAGACTTCCCCTTCAATTTCATTGGCTCTAAAAGTAGGTTTCCTCCTGAGATAGTTGATAGTTATAAAGTCAGCTCATTGTAGTCCTTCCGTCTTCATTGACGTCTCCTTCATTGTTCAATAGTTTGCCTATAGAATTCTTCGCTATTGAGACTCTGGCTTGGCGATTTCTTTGGTTCTTTTGACTTGCAAACTGTGAAGCATGCTCTTTCGTTTGGGTTTTTTGACTCCAGGTCTGTGCACCATTCATTATAACACTTTCCGTTGTCTCCACAAGACACCCTGTGGACTTTTTGTTCATCTGTTTTCCCTCATCCTCTCTTCCATTCACCTTAGCTATTCTGCTTTCAAGAGCAAGTTTCAGGTGCTCTTCTGACATTTCCTTTTTAATTACCTTAAATTGGAACGGAAGAAGGTGATTATTTTAGAGGTAAATGAGCATACTAGAACTTGTTAGTTGTATTTTACTATCAATAATATATGGGCATGATTTGGTAAGTATTTATTTTAAAACCAAAGACAAATCCATGTATTTTTTTAAAGATTTATTTTCATTTGAAGTTAGACATCATACAAGCACATCCAAATTGTGAAATATATTTGAGGCATAATTTAACTACTTAAACTTGAATGATGAATCTATTAATATGTTGTTTGACATATACTATATAGTGATCATCTTCCAAAGACTATTTTAATCAAAATATTAAAAATAAGCTGGGATCTCATTCAAACAGTTAATTCCAGCTGCCTTTTGTTGTAATATATCACGAATTATCTCTCTGATGGATGGGTAGCCAAATGCAGATAAAATTAGCTTTGCAGTCATTCATTTTAAATTGCTCTCGAATCATTTGGAAGTAAATTCCATTTCAGAAGAATATGCTTCAAGTCTCAAGACAAAGAGATAATGGCCCTATATTTTATGATATAAGCAATAACAGTATAAGTCTTAAGATTCAGAAATATAGAAACTTATAGATTAACTTCATGAAAATTAAAGCTTGATATATAGCAATAAAACCAGCAATCTAAAGCTGCCTGATTGATGTTCTTAGCATGATATTTTCCTGTCAAAATCAGGTGGAATGAATGTCTATAAAAATAATACATGGTATGGAGCTTTCTCCTCTTGTATGTAAAAGAAAAATCAAGTGGTTATATGAGATAACAGGGAACGTGTGCCTTCTTTGAGGAGTAAGTCTCAAAGGAAATGCTGAGATTTACCTGATATTCAGATCAAAAGGAATATCGTTATTGAGCAGTGGTAGAAAGTGGAAAATTAAGTCAGAGTTGGGGAGGATAAAATGAATAAAAATGTTACATCTGAATCGAAAAGTCACTTTCAACTTCAAGCAAACGCTAAATTCAATGTAGAGAATAACAGCAAGTTTTGAAATTCTGCAGTTAGTTCGAATAAATTAATGTGGAAAACTTGTTTATCTAATTAGTTAGTCTGAAGCCATCAATATCAAGAGTTAGCATTTCCATTTATACAAAACATAACCATTTAGAAAAATATGATATATTAAAAAGAGTTCCATCCAAAATTGCTTTTCACAGATTGGGTTCCTGGTATCACCCTGAAGTCTCCTTTAAAAGACCTCGTGTACAAAAGCAAGCCCAGTTGTTCATTGGTTTCATGTCATATCAACCATATGTGTCAGAATAGAACTATGTTTGAAAAACCTGTGTTTTCACAAACTGATTTATTTCAGAAATAGGTTGCCATGCCTGTTTCCTAGGTGACACGGGAAGAACTTGAAACTCTAACTTCTGTGTTAGCAGCCAGGGGAATAAACTCTTTGCACCACCCAGGGGGCGGGGGAAAAAAAAAGACAGTTTCAGATATTTATATTAAGAAATAACATGGTAAGATGATGTTCGCACTGATCCCCCTAGTGAAAAATCAAATTGTAATTTTATAGCTTTGAGTTTCAAGGCATGATCTTAAGAGTATTAGAAAGCTGAGTGATGTCTATAGTAAAAGGAACCGCATGCTACGAACTGCACTTAGTAAGCCTATCAGTTCAAGGTAGAATTTCAGACTTTCTTACCGCCAGGTTTTCCACATTCCTCTAGTGCCCTCAGGAGAAAGAAAGATCTACTTCCCAAAATTAGCCAATGAAAGACCTATGAATCACAGAGGCCCCTTCTGCAGCTGCGTATGGGGTGGTAGAAAACCATGCCGTTGTACATGCGTTCACCTTGACGTGAGGGCCATCTCAGTGGACGGTAACAACACCAACCATGTGCTTGGCAGAATGCTAGGACTTTAAAGGATAAAAATGAACAATGATATAGTCCCCATTTTCAGAGAGCTCTTATAATAGTGTTAAGCATGTGTTACCCCTCTCTAGTCCTTTGAAAATTGGTATTAGTTGCGCAGAATTGGTTGCATAGACTGAAATATATAAAAATGTATATATATAAAATATTTTTTATATAATATATATTACATAATAAAATATTTGTATACTATATATTTAAAATTATACATATGATATATATAAGTAAGTATACAAAAAATGAATGCAATGTGATCAAATATTCATTTAGAAAAATTAGAATCTGCAGATGATCATGTATTTGCATACTAATGCAGCCTAAGTGAAAAATTAAGTAATCAGAAATTGTCCATTATTAATTTGATTAAAAAAGAATTGACTTGCTTGATTTTTCAAACTACATTGTGGAAAATAAAATTTTAAAGTAAATTTCATAAAAGGGCAATTCCTAAAATACCACCCTCTCTGAAAATGAATGCTGACATTGACATTTTTGTGTAGAGCAAGCCTCAGAAGGTGTTGTCTCACGAGATCTAACTTGATGGTGGGAGAGTTATTATCGGGGGCCAACGTCTATGTTCGGGCGTGATAGCCAGGCCATCTGTTGCAGTTGGAGAATGAAAATGGCCCAACAGACTGAGCCACTGACAGTCGGCCTGCTTGCATTTTTTCATCTCTCTCCCCTGTCTATCTAAATATATCTTGCTGACTCAAGCTCTTGAAAATTATCTTAAGCAATGCTGTTGTTGACACCTAACTTACCTGATGTGAATGCATACAAATGATACACTTGAACACACCATACTAGAGTACAAGAAGGAGACCTGGAGGCATAGAGGGTGAGTTCTCAGCCGCTAGGTTGGCAGTTCAAACTTACCAGCTATTCCACGATGTGAGACGTGTGACGTTTGTGATAGTCTGTTTCTGTAAAGATTACTCTCTCAGAAGTGATTTGAGACTCTTCCATTCTGCCCTCGAGGGTCTGTGTGCATCAGACCCACTTCCATGACCATACCATTTTTTGTTCGGGTACTTTGTTTTCCATAAGATATGTCAATAAACTGATACTAAGTTAAGATGTCTCTGTGGGTCAAATTTAAGAGATGGCTTCATACAGGAACTAGAATGAGATGTAGAAGAGACACTAGATTTATTTCACGAAGAATACATGTTGCCCTTGTCATTCAGAGCCTAGCAGTTGATTGGGAAGCGTAGGGACCTTATGCACACAGAATGAAACCCTGCCTGATCCTGCATCAGTCCATCTCTTTGAGGGTCTTCCACTCTTCCACTGCCCTTCTACATTACCAAGTATGCTGCTTTTTCCCAGGACTGATCCCTCCTGAAAGCATCCAAAGTATTTGAGACAAAACCTTGCCATCCTCGTGTCTAGGGGGCATTTGGCTATACTTCTTCCAAGACAGATTCATATGTTCTTTTGGCAGTCTGTGGTACTTACAACATTCTTTGCCAACACCATAATTCAAATTATACCGATTTTTCTTTGGCCTCCTTATTCAAAGTCCAACGTTCACATGTCTTTTCACATGCTGAGAGGCCTGGGGCGGGTGGCCGTGACCCCTGGGCTGGGTTGAACTGCGTGCTCTGCGAGCCCGAGCCATGGCCATTATGGTTTGCAAGCCATAAAGCATATGGAGCGTCAAGTAAAACAAAGTCTACCCAAATCTGCCTTCAGTGATGGCTATCACAGAGGTGGATTTGAACCCAAAATGACAAAACAGGAGGCGGCACTAATTCTGGGCGTAAGTCCTACTGCCAATAAAGGAAAAATAAGAGTTGCTCATCAACGAATTATGCTTTTACATCACCCAGGTAAGGGAAGATCCTTTTACAGAGCAGCCAAAATCAATAAAGCTAACGATGTGCTAGAAGGGCAAGCTAAAAAAATGAAGTAAATGTATGATGAATTTTGAAATACATAGTTTATAGATGAGCCTGACTTTTTATCATAAAATGCCTCAAAGCTAAAAGCAAAAAGCATCTCAGGGCTTGATCCAGGTGCACCTTAGCCCCAAAGTAACACCCTTGCGTTTCCAACACCTTAACGATTTACCCAACGCAGTGTACTGCTGCTGCCATGAGCATTGGATGCGCATCCAAGCAAGAGGAAATCCTGGATAAGTTTAATCTTTTCACCATTTGTCATGATGTTACTTAATGGTCTCCTTGCGAGGACCTTCGTTTTCTTTACACCGACTTGGCGCTTATTGAATATGGTAAATGGTATGCAATCATCTGGTATCTAGCACCCATTGGTTCTTCTAAAGGAGTCAGCTTTGCGGCTAAGGCTTTTAACATTTCACATACTTGAGGAAGTAATTATGAACTGCATATACACAATTTTCCATGTACATGCATACACCAATCATAAGACTGTGCAGTTGACCCTGTGCCTTCTTGGATAATAAGTCTTCAACAATGAGTTCGATCCTAACGATTGGGAAGCTGGCACAAGTGTTTCCTTCTGTTGTACAGAGGGTGACTATATATCCAGAATGACTCGGTGGCATCTTTCAACCTTCCATGGGATTTCGAGTTTGATATTTTGTGGTGCCATATTGATCAACAGCACTGTCTGTCATTGTGTTTACAGTAATCGCTTCCAAAAACAAGAAGAAGGAGAAGAATTGGTTAGATAAGGCCTTCATGACGTCAACTTCGTTCTGATCTGTCAATAGCTCGGTTCTTCAACCGCCTGTCTTTCTGAGCTATGTTTATTGAAGCTGGCTTGAGTGTTGTCGCATATTGACTAAAGAAGTGGTGAAGAAGGCTGATGGTGCCCAGCTATCGAGACCTATAGCGTCTGGGGACTTAAAGGCTTGAAAGTAAACAAGCGGCCATCTAGCCCAGAAGCAACAAAGCCCACATGGAAG